GTCGAGTGCCTTAACCACCTGGCCATGCCGGGCTGATATTCAAAACACAAACAAAGTCAATGGTTATTTATGATGTACATGCCCAAGGACTGGTGGATTCCCTTTCTCTTATTGAATCAAGTGACTATTTCCAGTACTTTATTTATGAACAATCGGATCTATGAAATAATTGATCAAGTCAGTGTTATGCAATGACAAATGGCCGAAACGAATATCAATTGATTAACGCCTCTTTTTTTGTTGTTGATAATATTATTATATTAAATAGTTTATGAGGCGCTAGTTGTTTGAACCCAATAAACTGTTATGTAATATAGAAAAGAGAGAGTCAAGTTGTAATGAGGGCATCTTTACTAAAAAATGGGCATTTCTTAACGAAAACATTTCATTTTTAACAATAAAAACAGTTTATATATCTTAACACAACTTTATTTTACAATATGTGATTAAGTTTCTAGTTTATTACAGAAATTATAGAATCTCATGTGAGTTTTTTTTTTGAGATTTGTAGGAGTTGCAACTACACAATCAAGCATTGTACCAAGCTTTACAAATAAACGTCTTTTGTCTATCCCTAGTTAGCAAGTTTACATAAACATTACAGCATTCTAATATCAAAGTTAAAACTACCCATTGGAAATACAAAATAAGATTATCAGTTAATTTTTCTCAAAATAAAAAGTACGATTAAGGAAGTATTTAATCGATTCAGCTAGATATTAACACAAATATTCAAGATTCCCGTTCAGTATTAAATCCACAGTAGTAGGTTCTCGTGTAGTAGACTAACATCTCTCAATACGATTTTCAATAGCTGAAAACAAAACAAAAAACACACAACTATTTGTTATTATACATTATTTAAAGTTTCTCAAATACAACTGGAGATGAATTAACAGTAGCTTATTAATGTGTTATTGTGCAACAGCACATGGAGCCCCTGTTACTCACAGTGGCGAAAAAGGTTTTTCTTATAGAAGTAAAACCCGATCGAAGATAATGAGAAAACATTAAAATAAAGAATAAATATAAATCCACAAAAGGTTTACTGAGTGAGTCGGTAAATGTGATACTTTCTATAGGTGATGTTACTCGGTAAATGTAATAATTTCTGTTGGTGATGTTACTCGGTAAATGTGATGTTTTCTGTTGGTGATGTTACTCGGTAAATGTGATGTTTTCTGTTGGTGATGTTACTCGGTAAATGTAATATTTTCTGTTGGTGATGTTACTCGGTAAATGTGATACTTTCTGTTGGTGATGTTACTCGGTAAATGTAATATTTTCTGTTGGTGATGTTACTCGGCAAATATAATATTTTATGTTGGTGGTGTTACTCGGTAAATGTTATACTTTCTATAGGTGATGCTACTCGGTAAATGTGATGTTTTCAACAGGTGGAGTGAAACAGTAAATCCGAAGTTTTATTTTTACTTATTGATTGTTATTTTGAGAAACCAACTATTTACAAATTTTCCGTTGATTAATTAATTAAGTTAAAAACTGCTTCAAACTTGATTTACTAAGATGTAAAAAATTAACCTGGTATTTCGTATCAAATAATATATTCAGCACTTTACTTAATGATTAAGTAATATTATGTTAGAAGAAAATATAGGAGAATTTATCGTTTATCTAAACAAGATTTAAGCTCAAGTTACATCAAAAAGTTAAAAATCATTCTTCTACAAACCAGGACCGAAGAAAAAACTAGTCCTAACGAGATTTAAACACGACGCAAACTAATAACCTTACCTTTGTTTCAGTATCGTACTGATATGTTGCAGGAAAGCTATTTATCGTAACTCTAGAGGGCGCTTTCACCACTCCATATATCCAGACAATGCTCATCTCCATTGTTGTCATATAACCCTTCCTAATTACTGACGTCATGATCGATTGCTTAAGGAATAAAACATTTTTATAATTGATTATTGTATAACCAGTAATGGCTGAAAAAATAGCGCGTCGATATCAACTGAAGAAAACTAAATTAAGTGAATATATAAACTTCTTATTATGCTATGACGCAGTTTTATAAAGATCTCTAAAAATAAAAAAATTGCTGTTGCGATGAAAAGTACACAAAACAGTACTACTACTAGATTGGCTGTGATGGAACTGCAAATATACATGAAAAATAAAAATCCTGAACAGAAGTCCTTTCACTCTGATCACGAAAGGATCATTATCCAAAAGTATTCTTGAAGACTTCTGTAACCAAGGTTGGTATAATAATTATAGTCTCCTGTAACCAAGGTTGGTATAATAATTACAGACTCCTGTAACCAAGGCTGGTATAATAATTATAGACTCATATAACCAAGGTTGGTATAATGATTATAGACTCCTATAACCAAGGTTTCTATAATAATTACAGATTCCTGTATCCAAGGCTGGTATAATAATTACAGACTCCTGTAACCAAGGCTGGTATAATAATTATAGACTCATATAACCAAGGTTGGTATAATAATTATAGACTCCTATAACCAAGGTTTCTATAATAATTACAGATTCCTGTATCCAAGGCTGGTATAATAATTATAGACTCCTATAACAAAGGCTGGTATGATAATTATAGACTCCTATAACCAGGGGGGGTATAATAATTATAGCCTCCTATAACCATGGCTGGTATAATAATAACAGACTCCTGTAACCAAGGTTGGTATAATAATTATAGACTCCTATAACCAAGGCTAGTATAATTGCCATGCTGGAATAGATTGTAACGGTAGTTTTATGTCATGCTGCAATATATTGTTACGGTAGTTTTATATTATGCTGGAATATATTGTTACGGTAGTTTTATGTTATGCTAGAACACATTGTTACGGTAGTTTTAAATGTGAATTATCATTCCAGCCTTGGTTACAGGAGTCATAATTATTATACCAGCATTCGTTACAGGAGTCTGTGATTATTATACCAGCCTTGGTTACATGAGTCTGTAATTATCATGCCACCCTTGGTTATAGGAGTCTGTAATTATCATTCCAGCCTTGGTTACAGGAGTTTATGATTATTATACCAGCATTGGTTACAAGAGTCTGTGATTATTATACCAGCCATGGTTATAGGAGTCTATAATTATCATACCAGCCTTGGTTATAGGGGTCTATAATTATTATACCAGCCTTGGATACAGGAGTTTATAATTATTATGCCACCCTTGGTTATAAGAGTCTATAATTATGATACCAGCCTTGGTTATAGGAGGATATAATTATAAAACTACAATAACAATGTATTCTAGTATATCATAGAACTGGTAAAAACACTTACTTTCTTGGCTGTAAACCTAATTAAATTGTAAGCTCCATTCTGAACAGGATCTGAAAAAGAAACTCAATATATTAAAACATGGTTTTAATCATCTTATTTTTGTTGCAAAAAATGGCAATGATTGAACACTAATATGACTTTTCTTGATACATCGTATAAGATTTTTAAATATTAGGATTTATGACTCTATTCATGACAATAGGTCCAACGAACTTCACAGTATTCATTTTTTTCCACAATTTGAAATATGAAATAACTCGCTCTACTACATGTGGAGTAGGTTTTGTTTTGTTTTGAGTTACACGAGGGCTATTTGCGCTAGCCATCCCTAAGTTAGCAGAGAAAAACTAGAGGAAAGGCAGCTAGTCATCATCACCCACCGCCAACTCTTGGGTACTCATTTTCCAAACTAATAGTGGAAATGACCGTCACATCTTAATGCCCCATGTTTCGTGGGACAGGGATTCAAACCCGCGACCCTCTGGTTGCAAATCAAGCCCCCTAACTACCTGGCGATGCCGGGCTCTGTGCACTAGAATCCTTCCGTAAAATCTACATCAAAAGTAATAAAATTTGACAGGAAACTGACAGACTCTAGTGTGGACGTATTGCCAAATGTTATGGCCCTCAGCGGCTCTGTAATTAGTCTAAAGGTTTAAATACTACAGCCCGGGTTTCGATACCCGTGGTGGGTACAGCACAGATACCCCATTTTATAGCTTTGTGCTAAACAACAAACAAACATCCATTACATGCAGCATTTGTACTTTACTTCACCTAATCTGATATGAATTTAAAATTTATTAAATTACTCGAACTTAACCAACAGTTTTGTTGATTAACCAGCCAATGTTTACTTCTAGATTGTCTGTGTTTCACGTGTGACACTGTATAATGCGTGAGTGTAGTTTATGTCCACTTCTCATACTTACCCTGTATATCTCAACAAACCTGTTAGGGAAGCGTCATGACCCCAAACTTACTCCTCCGGGGCTCCCATGTTTTCCCCGTGTGTTGAATCTGTTTTAGTGGATAAATAGATGTACTGCAAAGATGCGTACCCAGACGCACATAATTATAATTGCATATTTTAATGCAAGGGTTTGAAGCTGGAGATTCGAACCGTGGTGCTACGGGCAACTTGTTTAGCACATATACATACACACATGTTACGTACGACCATTGTAAATTGCAATGACGTCTCGGCAAAGTTATAGGTTGAAGAAAATGTCACAGATACTTCAAGGAGAGAAATATACCCAGTGTACAATGTTAAACAATATAAATAAGGGAACTTTCAAAGCATTTTACGGAAATGGAAAGCAATCGCATTTAGAACAACCTTTTGTATGAAAGGTGATAATCCCATCTTCAACATAATAGTCAAGCCCTGCCAATGGATTTCGATGGAGTTTTGCCTCTTTTTTTTAAACATAGTCTTGGAAGCCGAAATCCCTATACAGAAGAGTCATTAGGAAGTTATAATGATGTATAGTTTAAAGTTGACCTCACTGTCCATTTTAGAAGCTTCTTGCAATAAAAATAATACATAATTATGGTCAGACTGAACAAGACTGGTGAACTTATTCTAACTTCAGCACAAGACATGGAACATTGTTGTGATACAGTGTCATTCAGCACCAAATGTGGAAAATTGTTCTGATACAGTGTCATTCAACACCAAATGTGGAAC